TTCGAAAGACAGGGGCAGCCCAGCGACCCGAAGCCCCCCCCCCGTTTTTGAACTCCCCCCCGCCTCTGTATACGCCCTCGGCGCAGTTGCAATGATCATTTCAGTTGCTTTCTACGAGAAGCTGCTCGTCCCATTCCTGAAAAGAGCCACCGGTAACGAACGGGGTATTAGCCTTTTGAAGCGGATCGGGACAGGGATGGCGTTCTCGATCGTGGGAATGGTGACGGCGGCCATAGTAGAGAGGAAGCGATTGCGGGTGGCGGAAGCAGAGCAAGCTATGACCTTGTCAATGAGCGTCTTCTGGCTAGTGCCGCAGTTCATGGTATTAGGATTGGGTGATGGGTTCACCATTGTTGGGCTTCAGGAATATTTCTACGATCAAATGCCGGATAGTATGAAGAGTATTGGGATTGCGCTTTATCTTAGTGTGATTGGGGCTGGGAGCTTTTTGAGTAGTTTTGTAATAACTTTGGTTGATCATGTGACGGGGAAGACGGGGAAGGGCAGTTGGTTTGCCAAGGAGTTGAACGATAGTAGGTTGGATTTATTCTACTGGTTGCTGGCTGCGATTAATGGGGTCAACTTGGGTGTGTATCTGTTTGTGGCGAGAAGATATTCATATAAGAGTGTGCAGAGGAGGGTCGGGGTGCCTGCTGGTTCAGTGGAAATAGATTGCGGAGGAGCAATGGAGGAGCCTTGATTCTTCCATTAATGTTCCATATCTATATATATATATATATATATGAATAATTATATCGGATGAATTTAAGGATTGGGGGACCAGAGGGCGGTGGAAAGGAAGTGTTTTCATTAGTGAATTTATATATATTATTGGTCTAAGGTATGAACTAAATCTTAGTATTTTTTTATGAAAGCCTGTATGATGTAAGATGTCAATCATAATGCATTTTTTGTCAAAGGCTAATTGAAGCGTGAAACTTTGTGTCATAATTTTCTGAATTGATTTTGAGGATATTTTCAATATTTGACTTAATATAATCAGTTGGCTTCACTAAAATGTATGTATATTTTTGTATGTTAAAGTAGTAGGGTTTTTTTTTTTCTTTTTTTTTTTTGGCTAAGCCAATGATGATACCTATGATCTCGGATAGAAATTTTTTCTTTTGGAGATCATTTATAAGACGATAATGTCACTTACATAATATTGAAATTTAGTAAAGTATTTAAGAATATAAAATGTTGCTTTCTTCCTTAAAGAACACTTGGCCCGAGGAGAATTCTGTTAGCTTTAATAATAGCAAACATAGTTTTTGTTGGAAGTATTGTGGTAGGATTTCTAAAAGGTTAACGTGAGAAGCCTCAACGTGAATAACTTTGAGCACTCATATTCAGTAAGTTTGTGCATCTTATTATCATTCGTGGTTAAAGAAGGAAGAATTCTGACTCTTCTTATTTATGATTTAGGGTTATATATAGTATGATCATTGGACTGAAGTAATAGAGTTTTGCCTAAGCCATGGAAGGAATTAAAGTGTTGATTTTTACTTATTCGTAGATGTAAACTACACCATTTAGAAACCCAAGAAAATTATTTAGCTTTTAGCATCTACATAGTTGAGAGATCCAGTTGAAAAATTTTTAGGAAAATTCAACACTTCTACCTTAGAGAATGTTTGTCCAATTTATAATATTATGTCCCAGAAACCTAATTTTAGTTTGAAATAGTTTCATTTTTTTTTTTTTGGGCACAGATTTTAAGTAACTATTTAAATGCTTTAAGAAGTACAAAATGTTCTTTTGAATATTCGGATGCTAATTCAAAATTTATGTAGACAATAATTTATTAGAAATTTGGTGTAAGAAAATCATTTATGATATTTTAAAAATTACTTGGAAATTTTTTTAAACAAAATAGTTTTACATTCACTTCCTATTGTACAAATTTCTATAACTATTAATATATCTATATATATCATTTCTTATTTAGTTATGTTTATTGACCCGACTAGCAATTACGCAGATATTTATGTTCCTTAATATGCCAAAAACTTGACTCAAATTATATTTAGCAACTACTAGTGAGAGCAACTAGTGAGAACAAATGTAATATGATTAAAGAAATAGTTTTCTCACTAGGGATACTACGCAAGTATACATATCGTTTCAAGTAATATAGTTTTTTTCAAGAACATCAGTAACAATCCTACGAGGAAGCCGAAAATAAGTAAACAATAAAATGAAATAAAAAAATTTTGACTTTAAGAAAACTTTACTTAAGATTGCAGCAACTATCTAAATATGAAAATTAAGTTTATTAAATTTTACAATTTGTAAATAAAAGTAAATGTAATAACTTAGACAATAGACGAAAAGAGACATTCTCCTTGCAAATAATTCATAATCAGTGTAGGATTTCAAAATTTATTTAGAAACTTAAAATGTAGTATTGTGACAAATAGGAGCATACCTATTTCTTTAGTTTGTTTCAAATTGTGCAAAGAACATTGGCTAATGTAAGGTTGATGTCGGCATGTATAGTAGTGTTGGGTAGGTTCTAGTCTCTCACTTTTAGATTACCCACCGTGCCCTCCCTAGAGGACCTACCAGTCACCCTTAGTTCCAAGCTCTAGACCAAATTGATTAAAGAATCTAGTCTGTCATTCTAGAAACATCAACTCTGCACCCATCAAATCTTATCTCCTAATCTATTTACACCCCCTTTAAACAATACTCTTTCCAAAGTAGAATGTGATACTTGCAAGTCAAGAAATCTTAGCCCTTTCGGGTCTATAAGTTCCTCAACAGGTTCTAACAATACAAGTGGCCAATTTGTAAAGTAAATGAAGAATCAGTAAAAATATCATCACAATTTTAAGGAATAAAAAAATTTCTAAACAAAATCAAAATCACTTACTTAATTACTTCATATTGCAAGGAGAAAGAAAAGAAAACTACTCACGAAGCATGGGGATAACAAAACAAAACATATTTATAAAACTTCAATCCAGAGTACAAAACTTAAGGACAAAGATACAAATACTTCTCTAAAATGTTTTCTCAAGCACTCATTTGAAGTTCTCTAACTTCTCTGACTCCAACAGCACGTATAAGACTCACAACAAACTCCACAGCACGTATAAGACTCACAAACTCCAGAAATAACAAAGACTCATAAAGAAAACTTCTCACACACTTAACACACTCACACACTATGAGACTCTATAGATCCGACTCCTTAGCCTCTTGGAATTAATATATATTTATAGAGCTTCAAAAATGACCAAATGTTGCTTCAGACATCTCTTCAAAATTTAGTTTCATTCAATGAATCTTCTAGAAGATAACCGTGGAGCCTAGGCAATTAGGCGCCAGCGATTTTTTGCATCTTGCACCTTGGGGTCAGATTCTGACACCTAGGCGCTAGTTCAACTGGTTTGATATTTTTCTTGAATTTAGCCCATTTTGATTTATTTATTTATTTTTGTTCTTTTTTACTCTAAGCTCATTTTCTTGCGCCTGCAAACACAAACATAAAATTACCTTTCATTATAAAATAATCTTAAAAAATTGAGCATAAAATAAAAATAAAAAATAGGTAATTTTAAGGTGGATCAATTCTGACAAACTTAAATGTTACTTGTCCAAAAGTAACATTTCTTACTATATATATGAAAAGTATAACTTATGGAAGTGAGTTGACTTAAAGAATACTATAGTTTTTGTTTTATAAATGCAATAGTGAAATTTTAAAAAGATTTTTAATAACATAGGTTAAAATTAGAATGTAAAAAATATTAGTAATTAAGTTTAAGAATTCTGATTTTCTATTTATTTCAAGAATAAATTGTCATATTAAAAATACTTAGAAAAAGTACATGTAAAAGAATATCATGAGAACTTTACTAGTAAGGAAGCTAATATTTCATAAATAAGTTTAGAAATGTAATTAAGTCCCTTTTCTTTAAGATGATTTAAGTGAAGTTAATTTTTTATTATGTATTTTCCCCAGTTTCTCCTGACATTTATTTTCTTTTTTGTTTTTCTTTTCTTTTTCTTTCTTCTTTTTTTACTTTTTTCTTTTTTTTCGTCATGTCATGATTATTATATCTGGATAGCATTTAATGATTTTGAACACCACCATCCTCTTCTTAAAGTTAAAATTTTTTCATATTTCCTTACTTGATTAAATGTGTATTAGACTTGAAAAAGATTTTTTATAAAGTCTCAATTCTTTCTTTTTAAATAAAAAGCCAAGATCTTTAACATTCCAAAAAATACAAATTTCTTTATTTTAAATAGTAAAAGTAAAATTTTATACTCTTATACTAAATATCTCAAATCCAGAATTAATCTTATTATTAAAAATTTTACTTAAGTTTATAAAATTACTTATAAACTAAAAAATATAGTTATCTCAAGCTATCTCAACATACCACAAGTTATATTAAAATAAAATTTAAAAATATATTTTACTTAGGACAAATAAGTTTTAGTTTTAAAAATTTTATCCATTCCCTCAAACTTAAATTTTAAATTAGTTTAAGACAATTAAGTTTATAATAAGCATGAAAAAAAAAATAGAAATTTCTAAACAGGAGAATAGTACAGGTACATTTAATAAAAACAAGTGCAAAGTAGTAGAAAATTTAAATTAAAAACAGATATATCATGAAAATTTGTAACATAAAAGACTTATCTAACACATATCCAGTTCTAAGTAAAAATGTAACAAAAGTAGCAGTGAAAATAAAAGTACAGAGCTATAAAACATACTTAAATAGTCCAACATGAGAAAGATCTAAAAATCATAACTACTACAGAATAAAAAATAAAGTATAATCCTCTTCTTCTTCTTCATCATCATCAGAATCTAAGGGAATATCTTCATCCATTGATCTCGAGCCTTCAAAAGGTGTAAATCGAGGGCATGTAGGAAATTTAACTATATGGTCTCCATTCATGATATTTACCAATGTCTTATCATAATCAACATCATAATCACTTTTCCTTCTAACAAAATAAATCATATGATCAAATTTGTTTTCCATATCTTCCATACTACACTGCATCAAGAACAAATTATTATGGTGTTCCAAATATCTTTTACTCAACACAACCCAGAATCCAGATGGAGGCTCAGTAGCAGCGGAAGTAGAAGGTCTAGAAATAGAAAGCCTAGAAGTAGAAGCAGAAGGTGCACCTTGAACTCTATCTCTAGGGGTTCGTTTGGGGCAGCTTATTTGGTGCGGTGGCGTTTTGAAAACGCACCTGAGCTGTTTGGGTAAAGTGCATTTTGGCAGCTTATGTGTTTTCTAAACGATAAAAATTGTGTTTTCACACTGCACCTGTCTAGATGCGATGGCAGCTTTCTGCTGCGGTCTGGCTTTTCCAGGTCTGGCTTTTCCAAAAAAAAATAAAAATTTTTAATAGCTACCGCACCTAGCTTATCGAAAATTTATTTTTAATCAGCTTATCAGCATATTATTCAATAAGCTACAGCTGCCCTAAACAGATCCTAGGTCGTCCATATACATCAACATTAGCCTTCCCAATTGGCTTAAGTGGCTTCAACTGCTCTTCTCAATGTTCAAACTTAACTCTAGAGTCTTTACAAATAGTAAAAATCAAAAATGAAAATCTTAGACCTGAAGTTGTACTAGCTCTCGTAGAAGTACTAATAGCATCATATTTAAGAGCACCCGTCACATCTATAAGTTTTCTTTCTTGAATACAATAATTTAAAATAGCTCATTTTCTAGTCACTTCACTTAAATGATTCAAAGGAAGGAGACGAGAAAAAATACAATAATGTCATGCCTTCGAAGTGGCATTGAGCTTGGAAGAAGAAAAATTTACCTTACGATCATTTCGAATCTTCCAGGCTCTACGCCCATCAGTCAAATATACCACTATCTGATCCAACTCTGAATCATATGGAATGAACTCTGAATAGAAACAATCAAGCTTA